ATATATATATATATATATATATATATATATATATATATATATATACAGTATATAGCAATTTAAAGTCATTTCTAGGTTAATTTAACTATATATCTATGTTAATATACACATACATTACCGGCCACTTTATTATTATACTTGTCCAACTGCTGTTGGGGCCAGACGGGTTGGTCTGAGTATTCTTCTGATCTACTGGGATTTTCATGCACTACCATCTCTAGGGTTTACAGAGAATGGATAGCAAAAGAGATCAACGTTTCAGGCTGGTGGTGGTGGTGTAATGGTGTGGGGGATATTTTCTTGACACACTTTGGGCTCATTAGTACCAATTGAGCATCATGTCAACGCCACAGCATACCTGAGTATTGTTGCTGACCATGTCCATCCCTTTATGACCACAGTGTTCCCATCTTCTGATGGCTACTTCCAGCAGGATAACGCACCATGTCATAAAGTCGTCTCAGACTGGTTTCTTGAACATGACGATGAGTTCACTGTACTCAAATGGCCTCCACAGTCACCAGATCTCAATCCAATAGAGCCCCTTTGGAATGTTTTGGAGTGGGAGATTCACATCATGGATGTGCAGCTGACAAATCTGCAGCAACTGCGTGATGCCAATATGGAGCAAAGTCTCTGAGGAATATTTCCAGTATCTTGTTGAATCTAAGCCATGAGGGATTAAGGCAGTTCTGAAGGCAAAAGGGGGTCCAACCCGGTACTAGCTGGGTGTACCTAATAATGTGGCCAGTGAGTGTATATCTTTTGGCATAAGAAAATAAAAAACAATAACATTAACTAGAACAGAAGGAGTACAAATGCTATTTCATAATTTATAATACGATTTCATCCAGAAAGCATAAGAACAAAAAAAGTGGGCTCCACAACCCAGCATTCGCCAATCCAGCCCATGAGGAGTTACAAATCAGCATTACTAGTAAAAGGCCCAGTTTGATTCCATGTTTTAAAAAATATCTTTTGTTTGATTTCTATATTTTATAGTGATCTTATTTTTTTGTCTGCTGAGCTGTAGGTTGATGGATCATTACTAATCTCTGCTTTATTTGTCAGAAATTGCACGTCAGGTGGCTCAGATGAAGCTGATGCGGAAACTGGAGAAACAAGCTCTGGCACGAGCAGCAAAAGAGGCCAGGAGACAGCAAGGTGAGCTGGAGCTTTTACACACGTTACTGGTATCTTGAACATGTTTTTAAAACCTGATCATCGTTTCATCTCCAGCAATCATGGCAGCAGAAGAGCGGCGCAAACACAAGGAGCAAATGAAGATCCTCAAACAACAGGTCAGAAATCAGCCACGCCTTCTCAGACTGTTTCAAGCATACTTTAATGTTTTAGTGCATCATTGATGTGTCCTCTTAAAGGGATGGTTCACCAAAAAATGAAAACGTCCTCTCCATTTACTCACACTAAAGTGGTTCTAAACTTGAATGAATTTCTTTCTTTTGTTGAACACAAAACAAGATACTGTGAAGAATGTTTCATTTCATAATCTGAGTCATATTCGGCTTTGTCCCTTTATTAATCAGGGGTCGCCACAGCGGAATAACCCGCCAACTTATCATCCCTCATTTGCAGCGAAGACTCTTCCAACTGCAACCCATCACTGGGAAACACCCATGCGCCCTCATTAACACACACACTACGGACAATTTAGTTTGTGAATTAGCATGTGAATTGGGAAACCAGAGCACCCGGAGGAAACCCACGCTAACACGGGGAGAACATGCACACAGAAATGCCAACTGGCCCAGCCAGGACTCGAACCAGCAGCCTTCTTGCTGTGAGGCGATCGTGCCCCACTGCGCCACCATGATGCCCTTATTATAACATGTTACCAATGGAATTTTTTAAGGGAATCTTTTAGCCACAAATGGAGAATTTAACAAAACGCAGGGCGCAAACGCTTTCAGGGCGTGTCAGAACGCATTTTTGCTAACTTAAGGACGAGAAAATCCGCTTTGCGCCGTGGCGCATGGTCTAAAAGGGTTGGGTTTATTTTCTTAATGAGTTATAGGTGTGTTTTGAGAATAAACCAATCAGAGTCTCATCTTCCATTACCTTTAAGAGCCAGCTGCGTCGCGCCATAAGCGCATTGCTATTAACATGATGTAAAGTAAGTTCACTTTCGCTTTTGCTCTCGTGGATAGGGAAACCTTACTGCACAGACATCAATTAGCCTATAAATAATTAATTTTGTTTGTTAAGCGCAAAAATTTGTTTCAAAACTATTTCTAAATTCAGTTCTAATTTCTAGCAAACGATTAAATGATTAATAATAACAAAGTGTGCTCAAAATACTGAGGTATTTCCAAATACACCTGCCATGCCCCATATGGTCTAAAATTTGACAGGTGGACAAATCTAAGCTTGTTTTTAATAAAACTAATATAAAAATAATAAATAATTCTGCTCATAATAATAACATTATACAAAAGCAAATTGAATGAACTGAAAAAGCCTCCAGAGATGAAGAAAGTAAGGCAGTTGTTTTTAAATTCATGTAGACTGGAAATTATAATGTTTTGTAATATTTTAATCATTTATATTTATAGCCTAAATATATCCTTATTATATCCTATATATATCTTTAATATATTATATCTTTTTCATATGTAAAGATATTTGCGTATTGCATCTTGTGTGTAGTGTGTAAGCCAGACGCACTTTGCGCCAGACAATAGACTGACTTTGTTCTGGTCTAAAGATCAGACTATTACAGTTTCTCAAAATAGCAACACGCCAAAACACGCCTGCTTTTTTAGACCAGAACTCCTATGGGCGCACATTTGAGCGCAAATGCATTTGCTATTTAAACAGCGTGGCGCAACACCTCAAAATGACCCTTGCGCCGAGCTTAAAGTAGCAAAAGACTATTGCGCTTCACCTTGCGCCACATTGCGCCGGGTGTATGATAGGGCCCTTAGAGTCTTTATTTGTCCACGACTTCAGAAAATGAGTTGATTTTGGTGGCAAATCTTATTTTGAGACTTATTTTGAGAAAATATTTTGAAAATGTTCTAAAACTCAACAATATAATCTGGGTAAATTGTCTCCCTTTCATGAATGGCTAAATACTCAGTGCCGTGCACAGCTGTGGTCTTAGAACTTGGAAGGTCTGTCCATATGGGTCTGTCTGTCATCGGAAAGCACGAGCAGTCATGAAGCAGGGTCTTCTCATAGGATAAGAAAGCTCGGCTATAAATATTAATAATAAGAAACCAACACATCATTTCTGGACAGTTTCACGATACATCACTGATCTTGATCCGCACCAATAATTTTTTCAAACCCACAAGTTGAAATTAGCTGACAAAAGTTTAAAATTATTCAGTTTTCTCCACAATAAAAGCTGACAGGTGCTAGCATTGTGTTATCCGATACTCGACACACACAAATCTGTTAAAATCTCCCAAAAAGTACTCGAGGATTTCATGAATCTTTAAAAAAAATCTCATGCTCATCATCTGATGGTGAACTACCGCTGTAGCCTGTTTCTCCTAATTTAGTTTGTGCAGTTTTTATGTGTCGATGGAAGAAATGTTAAGGGTGTCTGTGTGTTTCTAAGCACAGGAACCCGCTGAAAAACAGCGTTAACTTTTAATCCTTTCCTGCTTTAAAAAATATAATAAATAAATAAGTGGAGGACGAGGATATGATGACAGAATTTTCATTTTTGGGTGAACTATCCGTTTAAGATCAGCCTTGAACTCTAATGCTAATTTTAGTTGATGCATAACATGCTTGAGACTTAAAAATTCATCATTGCAAATTAAAATGCAGATCATAATTTCTCATTCCCACCTACTACAGGAAAAGTTCAGGAGAATCCAGCAGGTCCGAATGGAGAAGGAACTACGAGCTCGACAGGTTTTGGAGGTATATATATATAAATGTATTCATATTTAAAGAGCATACAAACTGCTAAGGTCAATATTATTAGCCCCCTAAAAGTATTATTATTATTATTATTATTATAGGCTACAGAACACAGCACTGTTGTCCAGCGACTTGCCTTGATAAGCATATACAGTCCAAACATTTACATTTAGCGTAATTGTGTTATACAGTAAATAACATGTATGCAAACCTAATATTTTGATGGAAAAGTTGTCAGCTTTGATCACTTTTTATTATAAAAGTTATGAAATAGTTTGAATAAACATGGGTCTAAATGTTTTATTTATAAAATATATATTTTTATTATATAAATTCATTCATTCATTCATTCATTCATTCATTCATTCATTTTCTTGTCGGCTTAGTCCCTTTATTAATCTGGGGTCGCCACAGTGTAATGAACCACCAACTTATGCAGCAAGTTCTTACGCAGCTGATGCCCTTCCAGCCGCAACCCACATTCACACAACATCCACACACACACATTCACACACACACACTCATACACTACGGACAATTTAGCCTACCCAATTAATAAACCGGAGCACCCAGAGGAAACCCACGCAAACGCAGGGAGAACATGCAAACTCCACACAGAAACACCAACTGACCCAGCCGAGGCTCGAACCAGCGTCCTTCTTGCTGTGAGACGACAGCACTATTTACTGCGCCATTACTTTGCCTATATAAATGCAGTAGCTTAATTTTGAATTATGTTGCCTCTGTGGAAAGTAACATTTTTAAACTTTTGGGAATTTTATTTTTTTAATATAATCCCGAACGATTGTTGCATGTCAGACTGGAAGAACATGGCTCTCATGTCACACTGTAAGATCTCAGCTATCATAAAGTCAGACTGAACGGCAATAAAGGCACACTAAACACGAAAGAAAACGCCTTCAGAGTTTGACGTCTTCCACCTGTGACACTTTCACTATCCCGCGTTCTGAAATGATTCCTCACAGCAAACATAAACAATCTGTAGCGGCAATTTTGCACATGACGTGTCTCAATAATAAAACCAGGAAGAAAACTGTTTTCACATTTCCCAGCGGCCATTTGAATTGTCGCATAGATTGTGTGATCAAATTCAGAGCTCCTATTGGTTCTTGGATTCACGCTCATTGCAGCTGAAATCTTCTGACACTGCCAGAACTTCATCAGAGGAAAAATCTGATCGCAACGGGCACTCAGCGGCTGTCTGTGAACATATTAAACCAACTATCAAAGATCACAGATTTTAGCCTAGGATTTCAGGAATCTTTTAGGATTTCCCAAGTTTGTCTGAAATGACAAAATCATGGCTGAAATCTCTCAGTGTGAGCAGGGCTTTATGTTTTTTATGTTTAAAAAACTTTTAAAGTATAAAAATGCTTTATATATAACTTATGTGATATAACAATCAAAATATTTTGTTTGTTTATATGTTGTTGCATGTATTATATTGTGTTTATTTAATTTTATTAATTATATTTTTTTGTTTAATTTAATTTATTTAAATTGTAATAAAATTTTATTTATTTAATTGTATTATAATTTAAAATATATGTTTTATATTATTTTATTTTTTATTTAAATTGTATTTTTTATAAAATTGATTTAACGTATTTTTAATTTAATGTAATTAATTTAATTTAATTTTTTTTTTTATTTCTTTAATTTAATTTATTTTATTTTATTTATTTAAATTAATTCATTTTTAAATTTAAATTTAAATTTCATTTTGCTTTATTAAGCCGCATAACTGTCAAATATGTTTGTTCGCAGGCTAAAAGGAAAAAGAAGGAAGAGGCTGTCAGCGCCAAAATACTAGAAGCTGAAAAGCGAATAAAGGTGATTGCTTGTTCATTTTGTATGTTTTAATTATTAATGCATTTACACCAATGTTTTCTCTGAGCAGTTTATTTCATTTTCCTACCGTGTCCTAATTTCATGATTATCTCAAATAATTTTCTAGACTGATTCCTAACAGGATCATCATTTATCCTAATAAACACAATGAGCCCAATAATAGTAAACTCAGAACAGGGACAGATTTATATTTATTTGGTAAAAGCAAAAATAATGTTGAGTGCTTTAAATTCACAGCCACAGTTGTTAAGGTTTAAATAATACCAACACATCTGATAAATGTAAAGGTAAAGGATTTTATAAGATCAGAAACCTCATTTATAACCGATCTGACATTGACCCGGTGCATATTTTAATGCATTTCTGCAGGTGAATTGAGCGAGACGTGAAACTGCTCGTTTCTCATTTTTACATTAACAGTCAGATCCCACTCCACCACACGCCTGTCAATCAAAGACCCAGACATTTCAATATACTGTGAAAATAAATGGAGGAAATCCTATCAGTTTATGACATCCCTCCATCTGCATCCCTGTCTCTCGCTCTCATCTCAGTAATGGAAATCAGGGAATATTTGCAGCTTTTAATTTAGTTTTCTATCTCTTTCTGAAGGAGAAGGAGCTGCGCAGACAGCAGACCATCATTCTTAAGCACCAGGTATAAGAAAATCTATATGAGCCGTTTCATCAGCAATATTGCTCAATATCTGATTTTTTTGACAATAAGGTTTACGATTAGTAAGGGATAATTCACCAAAAAATTCATATTTACCAACTATTTACTCTCCCTCAAGTTTTATTTTTCTGTTGAAAGCACACAAAAAAGATGTTTTGAAGAATGCTGAAAACCTGTAACCATTCATTCATTCATTTTCTTGTCGGCTTAGTCCCTTTATTAATCTGGGGTCGCCACAGCAGAATGAACCGCCAACTTATTTAGCACATTTTTACGCAGCGGATGCCCTTCCAGCCACAACCCATCTCTGGGAAACATCAACACACACACACACTATGGACAATTTAGCCTACCCAATTCACCTATACCGCATGTCTTTGGACTATGGGGCAAACCGGAGCACCCGGAGGAAGCACTTGCAAACGTAGGGAGAACATGCAAACTCCACACAGAAACGCCAACTGAGCCGAGGATCAACCCAGCGACCCAGCAACCTTTTTGCTGTGAGGCGACAGCACTACCTACTGCGCCACTGAGTTGCCCAACATGTAACCATTGACTTTTATAGTAGGAAAACAAATACAATGGAAGTCAATGGTTACAGGTTTTCAGCATTCTTCCAAATATCTTCTTTTGTGTTTACCACCAAAAAAGAAACTCATATTTTATAGTGCATCGTTGGTAAAATGCATAAAAGTGAGAGTTTTTGAGTAATAGTATTAATATAATAATATATTAGTGTTATTTTTAAGACATTTGACACAACATAAATAATAGATTTGCTTCTGTATTGTTTGTTTCTTAATTTAAAAAAAGTTTTTAAGGGTCATTTTTGTTGAAAATATATTACTATTTTATTGTACATCAATTATGAATTTATTAATTAGACTTTTTGTTATATTTACCGATGTAAGACTGTCATACTATACTAGTAAATAATATTATTTTTTAAGGTTTGAATCAAGTAAAGGGCGAGTAAATGATGACAGAATTTTCAGTTTTTGCGTGAACTGTCCCTTTAATGTCGTTTTGGGCTGTTGAATGCTTGACTATGATTGGTCAGTGAGCCTCATAAAGCCAAATAAAGGTTTCGAGTGCATAATAAAAAATAATTTTGGTGTGTAGTATAATAAATAACATTTACTAATGGAATCTTATAATAACATGTTACCAAGTAAATGTTTTTAACGCCTTAATTGTCGTTCCTGCCATAGGGAGACTTAAGTTTACATCACTTTTTTTGCAATTAAATCCTAATCTAATCATGACAAACTACAGGGTGGGCCATTTATATGGATACACCTTGATAAAATGGGAATGGTTGGTGATATTAATGTCCTGTTTGTGGCACATTAGCATATGTGAGGGGGCAACTCTTCAAGATGGGTGGTGGCCATTTTGAAGTCGGCCATCTCAGATCCAACTTTTGTTTTTTCAGTAGGAAGAGGGTCATTTGACGCATCAAACGTATTGGGAATTTCACAAGAAAAACAATGGTGTGCTTGGTTTTAACCAAGTTAACTTGGTTTTACTTTATTCTTTTATGAGTTATTTACAAGTTTCTGATGTGTTCAATGTGCTGCCCATTGTGTTGGATTGTCAATGCAGCCCTCTTCTCCCACTCTTCACACACTGATAGCAACACCACAGGAGAAACACCAGCACAGGCTTCCAGTATCTGTAGTTTCAGGTGCTGCACATCTTGTGTCTTTACACCATAGACAACAAATAGTGGGGCCATTCTTCATTAATCGAAACCTCAAGGCCACTGGATATTTGAAATAGCTCCATGATGATGTGTTTCCCTCTTTATGCACTGTAGCTGGCACGTTCCCTAAGTTTTTCCAGCAAGATGGTGCACCACCACATTATAGGTGTCAGGTCCGAGCATTCCTAAAACAACAGTTTCCTGAAAAGTGGATTGGTCGTCGTGGGCCGGTTTAATGGCCCCCAAGCTCTCCCGATCTGACCCCCTTAGACTTTTATCTTTGGAGTCATCTGAAGGCAATTGTCTATGGTGTGAAGATACAAGATGTGCAGCACCTGAGACTAAGGATACTGGAAGCCTGTGCTGGAATTTCTCCTGTGGTGTTGCTATCAGTGTGTGAAGAGAAGGAGATGAGGGCTGCATTGACAATCCAAAACAATGGGCAGCACATTGAACACATCAGAAACTTGTAAATAACTCATGAAAGAATAAAGTTATGTTAAAACCAAGCACATCGTTGTTTTTCTCGTGAAATTGCCATTAAGTTTGATGTGTCACATGACCCTCTTCCTATTAAAAAATCAAAAGTTGGATCCAAGACAGCCGACTTCAAAATGGTCACCATGGTCACCAACCACCTTGAAAAGCTTTCTCTCTCACATATACTAATGTGCCACCAACAGGACGTTAATATCAACAACCATTCCCATTTTATTAAGGTGTATCCATATAAATGGCCCACCCTGTATATATCGTTGGAAAGGTCAAAGACTTCTAAATACATGCTTTTGTATTTTGTTAATTAGGAAGAGTAAAAGATTAAATTACATTTTACAACCTGTCAGACCATTTACATGTCAGACCATTTACAATTACGCTTTTAAACCTTCATCATAAAGCAGTCATGACAAGCTATATATCAGGTGTGACCAACCCTGTTCCTGGAGAGCCACCTTCCTGCACATTTCAGTTGCAACCCATATCAAACACACCTGCCTGTAATTATCACGTGGTGTTCAGGTCCTAATTAATTGGTTCAGGTGTGTTTGATATGGGTAGCAACTGAAATCTGCAGGAATGTGGCTCTCCAGGAACAGGGTTGGCCATCCCTGCTATTTATCTTAAGCTTAAAATGTCTAGTCTTCATATCTGGTGACTGATAGATATCACTAAGCACCAGCTATTTTATCATTTGCAACCAGGATGCTTCTCACAGTTGTAAAGCATTACTTTGCTACAGCAATCCACATGTACTATTTTGTTTAGATGTTTTTTGGAGGCTAAATTCAAATTAAAAACCAACAATCTGCTCATGCTACTTCCGAATGTTATGCCTACTTTAAAAATATTGTCGAAAGTATGAAAAAAGCAGGGGGCGTTCTCGTATGATCATCAATGGAAACTGGAGGTCATCTATTGACATGTTCAAAATGTGGGGGCTAAAGTTGAGGGATTAAAGGGACAATTTTAGCTAAGAATGGAAATTAAATCAGTGTTATTTAATATTTTTTAGGATCAACTGTTTCTCTAAATGTATTATGTGTAATCTGTCCTCCGGGGAGTTGATCAGTACGGTTGTATGCATTGATTTATTGATTGATTTTTGTTCTTGCTTTGCCAACTCTCTCTCTGCCAGGAGTTGGAGAGACATAGACTAGATATGGTATGGGTATGTTTACTTCTGTACGTCTAACCCGTTGTGAAATGCTTGTGATTTGGGGTGCTTTGCTCTTTGACCGCTTCATCTTCTTGCATGACGCCTGCTTCATCTTGCCTGCAAATGGAGAGAGTATGAGATAATCTGAAAGCTAGTGAGCTGCCTATGTAGTGTGCGTTTTAAGGGAGCATAGATGCGGTCCTGATAGATCATGCAGATATGTTCATTATACTGCTTGCAGATTGAGTGATTTTATAGTGCATCGTTGGTAAAATGCATAAAAGTGAGAGTTTTTGAGTAATAGTATTAATATAATAATATATTAGTGTTATTTTTAAGACATTTGACATATCATAAATAATAGATTTGCTTCTGTATTGTTTGTTTCTTAATTTAAAAAAAGTTTTTTAAGGATCATTTTTGTTGAAAATATATTACTATTTTATTGTACATCAATTATGAATTTATTAATTAGACTTTTTGTTATATTTACCGATGTAAGACTGTCATACTATACTAGTAAATAATATTATTTTAATATTTTTAATGATGCCAATAGTAATTTGGCCAATATTATGAAGTGTTTCTAATATTATTAGGTTTGCGCTAAATGTTTTGGTATATTTACACGATTTGTTTAGCAGTATATTATGCTCTAAAAAGGCAGCTCACTGTTTTGGAACCAAGACATTACTGTGTGCATTTGTTGAAACTCGTCATCAGCAGTGCTGTTTAACGATTAATCGTGATTAATCACAAATACAAAATAAAAGTTTGAATTCCCATAATATATATGTGTTTTTGTACTGTGTATATTCAGGATCTGTATATAAGAACACACACATAATGAATAATACTGTAATTTAAAAATATTTAAATACACTTACTGGCCACTTTATTAGGGACACCTTACTAGTACCAGGTTAGACCCTCTTTTGCCTTCAGAACTGCCTTAATCCCTCATGGCACAGATTCAACAAGGTACTGGAGATATCCCTCAGAGATTTTGCTTCATATTGACATGATAGCATCACGCAGTTGCTGGAGATTTGTCGGCTGCACATCCATGATGTGAATCTCCCGTTCCACCACATCCCAAAGGTGCTCTATTGGATTTAAATCTGGTGACTGTGGAGGCCATTTAAGTACTCATTGTCATGTTCAAGCAACCAGTCTGAGATGATTCACGCTTTATGACATGGCGCAGCAGAAATGGAGACTCATCAGAGCAGGCAACATTTCTCCAATCTTGTATTGTCCATTTTTGGTGAGTCTGTGTGAATTGTAGCCTCAGTTTCCTGTTCTTAGCTGACAAGAGTGGCACCCGGTGTGGTCTTCTGCTGCTGTAGCCCATCCGCCTCAAGGTTGGACGTGTTGTGTGTTCAGATATGCTCTTCTGCAGACCTCGGTTGTAACGAGTGCTTATTTGAGTTACTGCTGCCTTTCTATCAGCTGGAACCAGTCTGGCCATTCTCCTCTGAACTCTGACATCAACAAGGCATTTGCGCACACAGAACTGCCGCTCACTGGATATTTTCTCTTTTTCAGACCATTCTCTGTGAACCCTAGAGATCATTGTGTGTGAAAATCCCAGTAGATCAGCAGTTTCTGAAATACTCAGACCAGCCCGTCTGGCTCCAACAACCATGCCATGCTCAAAGTCACTTAAATCAATTTTCTTCCCCATTCTGATGCTCGGTTTGAACTGCAGCAGATCGTCTTGACCATGTCTACATGCCTAAATGCATTGAGTTGCTGCCATGTGATTGGCTGATTAGATGTACCTAATAAAGTGGCCGGTGAGTGTATACAGTACCCACATTGTTCCATAAACAACATCTTTTATTTTCTATGTGATTAGTTGAGATGAATCATTAACAGCACATCAGTCACATGATTTTCATCTGTTGCTGGAAACTGGATTGTGATCATCAATAGTCTCAATATCATAAATATTCATTCAGATGTTTGCTTGTTTTTCATTAACGTGTTTGTCAAGCTCCTCAAGCGTCTGTTTAAAACAGGCAATAAAAAAAATGAAAGCAGCTTTTTATCGGCTGCCTCATTATTAGTATTGTAATAACTTACAATAATAATGTTCACACAGTATTCTGAGAAAAAGTATTAGTCTACTGATGTTGTCTCCCTCCATCTCCTCCTGACTGTCCCGCACTAAAATCCTCAAGCTGACCATAGACACCTGCAGTTTTAATGCGTGGAAAACTCCAAATGCTTTAATGCAGATGTGTAGGAACTGACCAGCGCTGGTTAACAGATCTGCTTTCAGCTAAATGCTTTACTAAACGCTCGTGCTTCTGCACTATCTTTACATTATTCGCTATGCCAGTCATCTGTTATCATTTCGGGTTTTATTTTTATTTGGTGATCAACTGTTTCTTTATTTTTAGATATGAAATATGTTTTAAGGCTGCACGCTGGCTCAGTGGTTAGTACTATTGCCTCACAGCAACAAGGGTGCTGGTTCGAGTCCCGGCCAATTGGCATTGGTGCGGGTTTCCTCCGGGTGCTCCAGTTTCCCCCACAGTCCAAACACAAGCGCTATAGGGGAAGTGATGAAGTAAATTGGCCGTATGAGTGTTTGTGTGTGTGAATGTAAGAGTGTATGGGTGTTTCCCAGTACTGGGTTGCAGCTGGAAGGCCATCCGCTGTATAAAACATTCTGGAATAGTTGGCGGTTCATTCCACTGTGGTGACCCCTGATAAATATGAGACTAAGCCAAAGGAAAATTAATGAAAGTGTTTTTACATGTTTGCCTTATTCATTGACTTTTTTCTTTGTCTGCTATTTTGTTAACACTTTTGTTTGCTTGCTTTGTCTTTTTCTGTGTTGCTTGCTTTTTCTTTTTCCCTTTTAAATGTTTATCTGCGTAAATTAGTTAGTTTGTTTTAGTACTTATTGTTGGATTATATTATATTGTTGTGTGGTATTTTAGTTTTTAGCATTTATAGTTTTATTTTGTTGTCAAATTTTTAGCTTCTGTGATTTATTATTTATTTAATTCTTTCTTCCTGTTGTGCTTGTTCTTTCATTAATTGCTTCCTTGCTCATTTTGTTTGGTTTGTTAGTTTCACTTCAAGTCTTTTATTTA